ATTATTATTATTCTCTCTGTTTGCAGATGTTCTGGAGTGTATACAACAACATCCCTCCAGTCACAGCCCTGCCTTTGAGATGTAGCTATCACTTAATGCGCGGAGAGCGGAGGCCGCTGTGGTGAGTCTGTAACTGTCAATATTCCAGTATTCATGGGTGTGTAGAGATGATCAGGTAGTATTATACAGCAGCTGCTGTATAATACTACCTGATCATGATTTTAAAAAGCCCATGAATGTAAAATTATATTTAAGTGTTCAGTCATAACAGTTTTCCACATTGTTATTTAATAGGCTGCACAGTAACGTGTTTTAATCTTTTACACAACAGGGAAGAAGAGAGTAATGCAAAGGGAGGCGTATGGAAGATGAAAATACCAAAAGAAAGCACTGTATGTGCCGCCCTCTGATTATCTGCTGCCGTCATGTAAACAAATCTGAATTATTCATGAGCTTTTCTGCCTTTTTCCTGTTTCAGTCTGCAGTTTGGAAAGAATTGTTACTCGCTACTATTGGAGAGCAGTTTGCAGATTACTGCGCCTCAGGTTTGTTTAGTTCTTAAAATAAATAAATCACATAAGTGGATTTACTGTTAACATCGCTTCTCTTTTTGACAGATGATGAGGTGGTTGGCGTCAGCGTTAGCGTCCGGGATCGGGAAGATGTTGTACAGGTGTGGAATAGCGATGCATCTCTCGCTAATGAAGCAAATATCTTGGGGAAAGTTTATGAGCTGCTCCCGTACATATCTTTTAAAGCTGTTTTTTATAAGTGTAAGTATGCCTGTTTATTGTTTCACTTGTACTTTTGAATTCACGCTAAAGGTTTAAAGTTGGAAGCAGGTACTCTTTTTATGGTATGAGGTAGATGAGAGAATAAGAGTAAACTGTGCATACTTGAAGGACCAAACCAGAACATGTAAGCATGTCACAGAATGATTTAAGAAGGGTGCATGGCTGTAGGCTGATCAGGCAGCAAATTTCCCCCCATATGCCTTCTTACTTGCTTCACATAACACATTGAGATGGGCTCTTTTTGTCTCTGCCTGTTACATATTTGAAGCCAAAAATGTAATGAGCTACACTATTTAAGTGACAGTGTTTAAGTTGTAGCTGAGTTCTGTTTCCTGCGTGTGTAGTGATCTAAATTTGTGTGTCTTTCAGCTCACATGGAGCATCATGCCTTTGAGGGAGGACGCTCAAGACATTAGATTCTACTGCTGCCCCCCCCCCCCCCCCCCCCTTTTTTTTTTCTAACCCGAACTCTGTTCCTGCCTTGGCGTGAAGGCGCTGTCCACAACCTAATCGAGGATATTATTTTGCTCTCAACAAGGAAATGTTATCAATCTATTTTTATAACTTTTAAGGACTGATGCCTTGTTTCATTTAAATGTGGGTCCTAACAGCTCGAAACTCTCGAGAGAATGTTTATCCAGCGTAAATCTCACCCCGAGTTCGTTACTTCACGTCGTTTTTTTGCCTTTCCTGCTACACTGAACTGCACTGCCACCATGGTCCCGTCATGTGCACAGATTGTGGACCTCGCAATTTTATTCCTGGTAGAGGTAGCAGCTACTTAACCTAGCTAGATTCAGCTGTTGTGTATGTTAGACGTATGCATTCATGTCGTGTTTTAATCAAGTCTGCTTTTTCGGTGCCAAAGCACTTTCCTGCCATTTAAGGAGCTTGTATCTTAATGGTGAAGGTGTCGTTTGTATTCAGCTGGACATTTGCCACTTGGATGGAGGTGAATGTCCCAATTGGTTTCTTGAATCTTCATCAAGTGTACATCAAACTGAAATCAGGGTAACATTTCAAAGATATTGCACATAGCTGCCAGTTCCCATTATGATGTTATCTAGTTATAAAGCTGTCATATAGCACAGATAGGACATTCAGAGCCTGCATATTTGGCTTGTGATTTTATCTTTTTTTTTTTTTTTTTTTTTTAGCGTTATCCTGTAAGGTGCCTCTAACAATGCTCCTCTCCACACCCTGTTGGACATTTCTTTCAATATACGTGTTGAAAGACCCCACCCCCGCCCCGCTCTCTTAAACGGAGTCATAGATTGTTTGGGGGAGATACATGGCACATTTTTGTGCTCGGCTCTTTGGTGTTTGCCTCTACTTGTTTCTCCTACCAATAAATCTAGTAGTTTGCTTACTTGGACTGTGTCCATTAAAACACACACACACACAGAGGGAAAGGGGCTGGATTATTGGCTTAGAAGAATGTTACTGAAGGTCCTGCTTTTCCCAGATTTAGCAATGTTTGTAAAAGGAAAAAATATGAATAAGCAAAAAAACAGCAGATATGACAAGTTTCAGTTGTCACGACATCGATGAAAAAAATTACACTTATACTGTAGGTCATAATTCTGTCCCAGTCATACGTTTTTATTCGTATTTTTAATTTTTTGAGGACAAACCTTTTTTCTGCGCCTCAATCGGTTTCCTTCACTAACCCTGTTCCCGTGCCGTGGTTTTATTGCAGTGTAGGGCTTCAGTTACTGAAACGCTTCTGGTATGTCAGCACCACTTTTATAGTTCAACTTTGGACGGGTTGATGGTTACGAGAGGAGAATTTGTCCTTTGTAAACATATTGTGCAGCGATACGGGCAAAGTAAATAAAATGGAGCCGAAAATGAAGTGCTTATCACCGGCGTTTCATTTTGCACAATACAAACATCAATAACAGGCCCGTTAAAGGAAATTAATGTTATTTCATGGGGAATGTCTCGGTGTATTAAAAGCTTTTGCATATCCTCAGCCACTTTGTGCTAATTCATTCTGGCAGCGCATTGATTTTAGTCCTCACACACCCTGTAATCGTAAGACCTGATTTTAAATACTGACTGGTGGTGATTATATGACTGATAACCTCAGCTTTTCAGTCATGAATTTTTTGACCTTCCATGAAGCAAGTTTGCTGCTGTTAACATTAATACTGGCGTTAGAAGAGAACAACTTGCTGTTGCTGTTTGGAAATAAGATGCAGGCCTCAAAATCACAAGAGGCTAAAGGATGCAATGGATATTCTCATTATCACATATAATCTGTATAATGTACCTCGTGTAGCTTTCAGTAAACTTTCTCAGAGACCAGAAAGGCTCAACCCATCTAAAATGACCTCATTCACAACACAAGTAGTTGCTGCAAAGTTCCTTGTAAGTTCACTGACCCCCTCAGTCTAAATACTTGTATGAAATGTTTTGGCAATAAACACTGCAACATTTCTCCTGTCTTTAGTGAGCACTGTACAACAAGCTGGAGCGAGCGACTGTGAAATTAGGACTTTGGGGCTCTGAACATGTCTAATACCCAAGATATGATGTAAATATCCCCTGTGCAGCTCCTGGCCGTGCACAGATCCATTCCTAGATTTAGTTAAGTTACATGCTGTCTGTTTTCCTACTGATCGTGCCTGTTATGAGCAGCCAGTTTAAATGGTTTATACAGTTGTTAGTAGCTGACCATGGGCCCAGTGTGGACATAAAGGGATGGACATGGTCAGCAACAATGCTCAGTTGGTACTAAGGTGCCCAAAGTGTGCCAAGAAGATATCCCCCTCACCGTTGCACCACCACCACAAACCTGAATTAGTTATACAAGGCAGGATGGATCCATGCTCTCACGCCGTTTACATCAAATTGTAAACATGCACATGTCACAGCAGAAATTTAGACTCATCAGATCATGCAATATTTTTCCAATCTGCTATTGTTCAATTTTGGTAAGCATGTGTAAACTGTAGGTTTTCTGACAGGACTCCCCCGGTCTGGTCTTCGGCTGCTGCAGCCCATCTGTTTTAGGGTACTGTGCTCTTCTGCACACCTTGGTCTATAACAGATTATTTTGCCCTACTGTTGTCTTCCTATCAAAATACCGACAAACTGGAAAACGCCAGTCAATTAGTAATTCTTGGATCAGCCCGTCTGGCACCAACAACCATGCTTTGTTCAAAATCACTCAACTCACCTTTCTTCCCTGTTTTGGATCTTGACCGTGCCGACCTGGTTAAATGTACTGAGTTGACGCCATGTGATTGGCTGATTAGACATTTGCATGAAACAGTTAAACTAGTGTACCTAAGAAAGTGACTGGAGAGTGTATAATAAGTGTTGTTATTTTTCCTGCTAAAATGTGAATTACTGACAAGAAGACTGCTTGTTAGCACTTCCTCTGGTAACAGTCACACCAAATGTCTCTGTTGTCACACTGGCATTAAAAGAGCTGAAAGGAAGCTTTTGTGGGTTCATGATTGCATGTGTTTGGCAAAGACGTGTGATATGTTTCCAATTAATATGGACTGTAAATGAACAACAGTCCATGCAGCGCCTCTCGCCCTATGACAGCTGGGATAGGCTCCAGCACCCCCCGTGACCCTGAAAGAGGATGGATGTATATTCCAAATGCAACATTGTTTAGGTTAGCTTTAACAGTTTAAATAGAATTTAAATAGAATTCAAGTACAACATGGTAAGATGTGTCAAGATGATACGTAACTATGAATGGTTAAAACTGAAGCCTGCGCAGTGCCTTAAATCTGCATTCTTTTAAATGACCAGCAGGCGGTGACTTACACTTGCAAAAAGAGGAAGCATTTTAAAGGGAAGTCGGGGGGGAAACAGCACTGGTCTCTCAATGTTTCAGTAAACAGTTTCCTGATGTGTTTTAGTTTTCAGTCACTTAGTCTTACTTAATGCATCATCATCTTCACTTTGTAAAATATGGTGCCCGGTAAAGTAAAGAAAACTATGCATTGTTAATACAGCACCATAAAAAAATACAAAGTGCTTTGACAGACAGGCAGAAAATGAATACTCAAAGGTCAGATTTAAACAGAACGCAATATGGCTAAACAGCTTGAAGGGAAAAAGGCATCACATGTAATGGAATCAAAGAAATACATGCCTAGAAAAATGTGTTTTAACATGTGATTTTCAAGCTGGTTGCTGGTTGGTAACTTTATCTCCTCAGAAGGTCAACCCAAAGTGAAGAGGGCCATGTGACACATCAAACTTCTTGGTAATGTCACAAGAAAAACAATGGTGTGCTTGGTTGCAACGTAACTTTATTCTTTCATGAGTTATTTACAAGTTACTGACCACTTATAAAATGTGTTCAATGTGCTGCCCA